ACCGATGACTTGTCCACTGGCGACATACTTATAACCTTGGCTAGGAAAGCATCGTATTGCTCCTATTGGCAATACAAGGACTAGCACCGATCTGGGTGATCCGGAGATTTCCTGATAATTTCCCTTGACGGCTGCCGACGACTTCGGGATATGCGGCGAGCAAGTTTGATTTGATGATCATCAGCAGGATTTGTTTGTATACAGCAAGGTGAGGTACAGTATGTGGTCCCCGCTGCAAGTACTCCTGCACTAGAGCAGACCTCGAGCTTTGCGACAAGCAGCTTTGGAGCATGCTACTGTACGGAGCGCGTATCTGGAGTTGCGTCCTCTGCGGGCCTCGCATGCGCAATTCTCGAGCTAAAAGCAGGTTCCTTGGGCTATGGCCGGACAGACAGCCATTCACCTAATCAGGTGATGCAGAGAGGGATGGACCCCTTAGGGCCCTTTCTCCAACACTCGCCAAGCAGCCTAGTGCGCCTTCGTTCATCTCTCTCTCGCCTTGTGTAGCAGCATTGGAAACACTGAGGAGGCAAATAATGACGGACGAGTTCGAAGTCTGCCTGGGTGATGGTAGCGGTGGTGGCAGCGGTGGTGGGCAGGCAGAGTAATGATGGTGATGTTAGCTGCCAGCGGCTAATCATGGTCCCCTTGTCCTCTTAGCAGCGGCCGCCATGCACCAATCCGGTGCAAGCTCCAAGCCCCCCGGATGCAAGTGAAATCAGAAACGGCATAGTCTCGCATCGTCCCCACACTGTCCCTTGATAGCAGCCCGGGCTAGACCACATGGCCAAGCTCCTCACCACGGCCTTTGCAGGCGATTGTGTCGACGCAGCCAGCTGCTAGCACAGGACGCTACCAGTAGCATCAATATCGCAGCCGAAAGGCATTGGAGAGACGGCTGGTGTCCTCCATCCTGGGAGAAAGGAGCGGCCAAGGCCTCGCTAGTGTTGATAGTCGCCCTATCGAGGCAGATCTGAGAGGATGATCACCGTACTGCCGCCTCGCCATGGCTGGCGATGGCCAATAAGCATCATGGTGCAAGTACGCCGCCTCAGGTAGATGTCGGCTAGCTGCACATATAGTAGTCTGGGCGTCGTACTGCATCAACAAGGGGGGAACAGAAAGGTTGACTGTGTGACTGTGTCCTAATCCCCAACTGAGTCCTACGCCACGAACCTCGAAGATGGTGGTTTTCATCCGTGGCCTCTTTTTTTCTTTGCCTCTCTGCCTGTTTGAGCCACGGCGGCTGCTGTGACAAAACGACAGCTTCCGGAAGAGGGTGCGTCGGAGGCATCCGCGTGAGCCGTTGGAACGGTCATGTCCGAGGATTGAAGGGCAGCAACACGAAGCCACGCTGTGCTGTAGCAGCGATATGTATGTGCGAGGTAGCAATAGCAGCTAGCAGTTTGATAGCACCTGTATCGTGCACTATCACTAGCGAATGCTACCCACTCAGCCGCTGGTCGCTGCGGTATGGAGCAGATAGGCAGTGGTAATATCCGGAGCATCCCAGGCGTTGCTTGTTACGGGCTGTGGTACGTATGAGTCCAGCAGATGCCGTGCGACGATCTGAGAGCTGGTACCGTAGTCCATACTACGTACTTTGCAGTAGAATCTGCACCTAACGTGGCGTGGCTTTTTGGTGTCCGTCTTTCTGATCATTTCGACGGCGGTCTTGGATGATCCCAGCGCCATTCCGTCCTGCGCCAAAATCCAATGGCACCATTCCGCATATTGCAGCTCGTGCAGCTCGCCAGCCAAAATGGCGCTATCAACATGAACGAAGCGTCACTCTGCCATGACTAAGGAGACACCATCATCACTTGAATGTATCGACGGTTGGACCCCTCCTAGATGATTGCCCCGTATCGCACATGTGTGTGCGATCACCCGTTGTGGTGTCACCCGCTGCGTTCTTTTTGCTGGGACAGAAAAATTGAAGGGACCATCACCACAAAAAGAGTCCACATGACGGCAGTTTTGGAGCTCTCAGAAGATGCGAAATACGACAGACGAGCGACTTTTCGATGGTAGATCTGCTCTGATCAGCTCCCGGTACTGCCTTTAGAGGAATGCGCCGTTGCGTGCGATGGGCAGGCATGTAGCACGTAGATGGTATATCACCGTATATCACCTTGGCCAGCATTTCGATGATACTTTTGTATGTACATGCAGCGTCGATATTCTGTATCAATAGGAGTTTAGTCAAAGGGGGGATGATCGATGGAGCACAAAAATGCGGGCGACTAGCCACATGCCGCCTAGCTCCCCCATCAAGGGCCCTGCTAGACCAATTGCGTAATCCAGCATCAGGACCCGCTTCGACTTCACTCCCGCTGCAATGTTGTCATTTTTTGGCCTAAGGCACCAAGCACGTTGCGTCGCAGCTCATTTCCCCCATAGAAGCTTCCAGGGGTCGAGGAAGATCGTCTTGGGCTGCAAACTCCCTTGCTCTTTAGCTCTTGTAAGAGTACAAAAACAGCTGGTAGGCTCGCCGCTGAGGGCGTCTTTGGGCGAAAAGGGGAATTGGATATGTTGGGATTGGGAGCAAAACTCGAGGGAGGCGGGTTCGGTCTCGGAAGATGCCCTGCACGAAGGGCCTCTTGGAAGCATCGGCTGGCTGATCATGGCTGCTCTGGTACTTTCGTCTGATGATCCCTTACTTGAGGTGTCTGCCATGTGTCCCAAGCCAATTGATGAAGAATATCTGCGTTCCATGGGATTTCCACATATTTTCTTTTGATGGCCAATGCGAAAATTTTATTTTAACTTATTTTTATTTTCTCTTACAAACTTACATGCTCGTCTGCTCGTCTTACAGGGACTTTAGTCTTGTTGGACAACCACAGACATGCATGCAATTGAGTTTGTTGACGACTCAGGCTGCGTCGCACAGCGTCTGTAGCCCCTGCTGTTTCCAGCGCCGTGCAGAAGGGCCTGGGAGCAGTTTCCAGCGGGCGATACAGAGGGGTCGACGGTGGCACACAAGGAGGGGCAGCCTGGAAGATGGGCTCATTGGCCTCTCTGACGCTCTCTCCCCGTAGTTGAACGTAATGGCCCATTTGCGTGCTCACACAACGCTTCATCCAGCGACACAGCGTTTGTCTGCCCCAGTGACACAGATGGCACCCCTGGGGCATTGAGCTTCCGTCACCATACTTGGCAGAGATTGGCCTCCATGCAACACGATAAACCGTGCGGTCGAAAATTTTTCTTCAATCTTGCTCTTTCTTGCTCCGCGTCGTCCATGCCCATGTCTGCTGCCCAAGGGGCGAAAAACAGCCCACCATGTTGGCGTCAGTTGAGGGCCAAAGAGCCAATCTGCCCACAAGCGAGCGCCCCGACTCCGGCCGGCTCTCTTGAGTCACCTCGCCCAGGCACGGCATCGCATCATGGTCGAATGTTGTGGCGCGTAGCAGGCTGGAGCTAGCGAAACCAGCGCCAAGAGGAAGAAGAAAAAATTGAACCACCTAGAGAAAATCAAATTCTGGGGGGACCACTCCCGCAATGCCCTAAGCATCTGGCGCAATTTAGGCCCGCCGCTACGGCTTTTTGCTACGGCTGTCGCAGCACAGCTGGGCTGTGGAATGATTTGATTTTCTGCTGATTTTGAATTTTAATTAGAGCTGCAGACGCCGTTCCCTAGAGGGCGCGCCACGGCTGGGTCCAGGCTGTCAACGGACCTGCCCGGCCGCCTAAAGTGAAGCTGCGCAGAAAACCTTGCGCCGGCTAGCAGGTAGCATAAAAATTTTCTGGTAGAGCACAAGCCGCCTTGAAGGTATGCAGGACAAGGACAGGACGAGACAAGCCACACCCAGGCGGTGCGCGAGGACAGAAAAAAAAAATCAGCCACCACCATCTCGCCTGGCATGTCCTCGCCCGTTCGAGCACGCCCCCCGTCGAGCATAATATTGCTAGGTATCACGCATCTCCTGGAGCCCCGCTGCCCATGCCCTGCAGCAGCAGATATGAAGATGAAATGGCCAACCCAAGCCCAAAACAAGACAAGGCAGAGAGGCAGGCCATGATACACCCCCCAAGGCAATGGCCCCGCATGCTTGTGCTCGAGTGCTGAGCGTTTCGCGCACTCCCTTTTCAATCTGCTGGGCTCCACAGAGTACAGGGCCTTGTACCGTTGTGCGCTAGGCTGGATGCGACGCTGGTGCAGGCTCCTGAGCCGGTGCTTCGTACGAGCAGCAGATGATGCACAAAGAACTGGCCTACGTAGGAGATACGTAAGTAAAGTAGGTACCCTCCCTCCAGAATGTGGCCAGGCAGGTACAGCGGGCCCTGCAGGTCTAGTACAGTACGTGAAGCAGCACTTATATCCATGTGCACTCAATCTGTTCGATTTCAGTAAGTCATAACTGTCGCTGTCGCCAGCTGAAGAAGGGCGCGTGCAGACACTTCAATAGCGGCTGTCGTACTTGTCATAATTCTATATTTCACCTTGTTCTGCAAGAGCCATTCACGCTCAATTTCCTGCCTTCTTTCCATCTCCCATCTCTTTCAGCTTCTGGGGCTGGTGGGGCCCTTGCGCTTGCCGCTAACTGCTCTGCTGCTACTGCTACTGCTACTGCTGCTGCTGTGCTAACGCCACGCCCACCCACCGGTACCTCGTCTCATGTAGCTTCCCCACCAACTGCCCACTGACCACTGCCCACTTTCCACCGCTCTCGTCTCGTCCACACCACTGCCTGCCCACGCCCACACCACATGGTACGAAGGTACCTCTGCCCGTCTGAGTCCTCCATCCCCAGAAACTATACATATGCATCCCGCTGCCCTCCTCGCTTCATCAGATCCTCTCCACTGCTTCTTATCAACTTCAACTTCTTCTTCTCCGTCCTTTGCTCTCTCCTTGAACACACTGCAAAGGCTTTTGACTACTACTTGCTATAATAACTTGACACTTCATCCACTCTCTGCTACTCTCAACTTATCTCGACTCACATCCACCTGTGACTCTTCCCCCACCATCAACACCAACAATCATCACAATGTCCCTCGACATGTGGACCCACGAATTCTGCCTCTCCTGCGACCGACAAGTCCAGATCGACGGCGAGGCCTACTGCTCTGAAGCCTGCAAGATGGCCGACTTCGAAAAGACTCCCTCTACTCCCAGCTCGCGAGCCAGCTCACCAGGCTTCTCGCCCGCCTCTTCCTTCTCCAGCCGACCTGCTCCCGCCAAGTTCTACCTGTCGCCTGCCTACGACTTCAACCAGGCACGGCCCTACGGCTCAACACCGCAGCCATCCTCCTCTTTCGGCAGCTACAGCTCGGAGACGTCGCCTCTGTCCGCACGAAGCAGCCTCACTCCCTCGAGCTCACACAGCAGCCTCTGCTCCATGGAGAGCACATCGTCTACCGCCGAAGCCAGCCAACTGTCAGACAAGGCACGCATGGAACTGCGAGCATACGCCGTTTCATTCGAGCAGGTCAAGCTGCAGCGCAGGCGATCATACTAAATAGCCACCACCAACTCAAACATATATACCCAAACACATATACACACAACATCCACCATCACGCAGCTCAATCCTATACAAACACTACATGAAACGACAACGAAACCAACCTTGCTTTTGCACTTTTGCACTTCTTTTCTTGTTTAACAAACACATTTTTATTTTCTTGGGTTGTTTCCTTCAGCTGTATCAAGACGGGACATTACATGGAGCACCGCATACCCCCAAAAGCACTTTTTTGCCTCTTTGTTTATTTAATTGAGCGCACTGTCTTCTCTACATCGACCTCTTTTATCTTTTCTTTTGTCTACGGAGTTTCATCACGGATTGATTTTGGACTATCAATGGGATCCCACTGCGGGCATCTGTATACCACAATACACCACAAAGAATGGGCGGAAGACTTGATATCACACTTGTTTTATTGATAGCATGGCACAAAGGGAAACACAATTGGGTGTTGGTTGGAAACACATAACGATATTTGGGACATGATCAGCGGCGCAGACCAAGATTTCAGGATCATATCAAGAATGATGGCGCAGATTAAGGCAGTCGGCGTGCTGCGAAGCCGCCCCGTCTATGGGATTTTACTTTGGAAAAAAAAGGACCAAGAGGAGGGAGAGGAAAAATAGGGAACTGAGAATGGCCGTAAGTAAACGAGGCCAGTGATGGGGATGGGTTTACGAAATGGATAGCTCTAGCTGAACATGCTTTGCATCATCAATGAATAGAACAACCCTGTCTAAGACTTTGGTCAAAACACCATTCTTGCCTGTCTCGTACGTGATGCAATTGGCGCCGTAAATTGGACCAGACTGGGTGAATCTGGCCTGGGCATTGGCACTGGCCTAGTTGTCGGTGGCGAAAGTCGCTGGTGAGCAGTCAGACTGCGACATCGGATAGACTTTGCGGTATGCGAGCGAGAGCATGAAAGCGTGCACGCATAACAATAGACGGCCAGGATGAGATACGGCCAATGGGGCCCAATGCGCTGTGACTGGCCTGAATCACGACATGGACGCGGCCCATTGCCGAATGTCTGCTGGCCAGGCTATTCTTCGCCTTGCCTAGCCGTATTCTTTGGCAAAACTCGAGTACGCAATGCATAGCAACTATGAAGCAAAGTGGATAGGGAGTGTCATGCTGTGCTACACCAAAAAAAAGGGTCTGGTACTTTGACTTGAATTGCACAAACGGTGGGCGGTTGGTGGTAGCATCAAAGTCGCTTTCAAGAGGTTTGCTGCGCTACCCTTGATGCAAGGTACTAAGTGGAAACACGAGACTTTCAATTTTTTTACGATTTGGCATTGAGAGGCATCGATCGTCATGGGCAAAATCGATACAACTAAGAGAAAGAAAAAAAAATCCACCTGGGGAAAAAAAACAGTTGCAGCCCAATGTTGGTGTCATTTGGCCTCGATCTAATTCTCGATTGCGTCCTGGATCGACGATGGCCAGGATGTTACAGAGGGAAGAGTTTTAGCAGCCGGTAGTAGGGATCGGCGGCAAAGGATACGGGCGGATGGGATGGGCCACAATTGCCTACGGTAGCCGTGCCTGACCGGCGGGGACTTGAGGGCGTCTTGATAGATGGTATAGCGGGGATGCAAATCACGAATTGAATGTATCTTTATTTAATTTGATCGTTTTTTGGTTGTGTGATTTCATCTTTGCTGCTTTTCTAGGAGGAGGAGCTGCATTGGGGGGCCGTGAGATGGTTGGCGTCTTTTGTCCAGATGAGGGTGTTAGTTCCTGCTTTTGCGTGGTGTGAGTGGCAAAATAGCAATAAATTACCATCATCCTTGAAGGAATAGCCTGCAGAATCCTGAATCTCATTTTGCTAAATATATAATGACGATTGTTATTTTTTTTATACTACTTCTTTCTCAATCTAGCGTTTGCTCTAGCTCAATTGGCCTGCGTTGTCCAATTGCTTTCTCATTTCATTGTGTAGGCTGGTTTTTCCACTAGGATATGGGTAGATGCATCAAATCACCAACCAAGCACATGTACCAAGCAAGATATGTGCTTCTTGGCTGTGCACATACAACAAGCACGGTTCGGTGACGGAACGAGAATTTTCATTCCAATTGACTTATTCTCTTGCGTCTTCTTTTTTTCTCTTTTGTCTCGATTGAGCGTGGAACGGACATCGCCGATGCAGCAAGGCAGGCAAGGCAAGGCAAGGCAAAATGGGGGTGCAGTCGGTGTTTCAGACGCCTTTTCTTTCTCTCTCTCTTATTTTCTCGTACTCGTACACATGTGCTCTGGATAATGAACTATTGCTGCTGCTAATAATAATGATGATACCAAATCCAGCCAGTTCATTGATCTGGACCCTGGCCGCGTCAAGTGGTCTGTGTGTGCCCCCTGTTGCAGCTGCGGTGGTAATGCAAAGAGACCTTTGACGGAGTGGCTTTCTTTCTGATTAGGCCAGTAGGGATGGACGAAGTATTAGCAGGTATAGCACAGTAAGATGCTTGAAACTTGTGCAGAAGCGATAGCCACCAGGCAGCCTATCAGATCTCGTGCGCCCCCAAGGGGACCGACTCTGGCTGCCCAAAGAGGAACCAGGCAAGGGAGGTTGGATGCCAATGCGCTGTTGCATCCAATGTCGATTACAGGCCCAGAGCGTATCTGCCGTAGCATCGCAAGAAGCCACAGCGTAGCATTGCCGGCGACATGGATCTCGTTTTCGATGGGCACGAGTATTATGAAGGAGTCCTACCGGCAGTATCAGCCTGCAAGTATGTACATGCTAGCACAAAGGTAGTAGCCATGTCTCAGTTGGTTGAAAACACAAACTCAACGTTACAGGCACGATGAATGCCTACTGTGTGAATTCAACATTCCCTCTGCTTGTACGTAATGGGATTATATGGTACCATGCATCGCATCAGCATCAGAAAGTCTAAAACCAAAATACGATGAAAATTTTTCTCTCCCATCTTCATGCAAGACATGATTGGAAAAAAGCAAAGATAAAAAAAAAACATGCATAGCAGGCTGCCAACTCATCGGCATCGGCGCACATCGGCCCCACGAAGAGCAAGACTATTGCCTGCAAAATAAAGCGACCCCTGGACACTTTCTGTCTGTCTTTGTTCATGTCTGGCTCCATCACCACCGTCCGGAAGCGTCTTCCTGCTGCGGCTGGCCGGGAAGTGGATACAGGGCCACTATGGGGAGCCCGGAATGGACTGGAGATTCAAAGATTGGCATTTGCCAGCATGGCGATGTGACTGGGAGGGTGTCTTTTTTCTTCTTCTCCAGGGGTTTTATCTCTCCCTATCTCTGTCTGATTCAACTTTGATCAATCCATTGCCTACCTATGCTGTACAAGAAGTGTACTATCTTCTAAGTATAAGATAACTGGTCGAGGCTTAGGGGTACCAGTAGTTGCCATGACATCCATTGGCACTTTTGCTGCTACAATACCAGGTACTGCCAGCACTGACTTGACTCTTGACTCTCAAAACACCACACGTGCCTCCTATCGTCCCTTGAATGGCATCAACTGTCTCTCCCGCACTACCAGCCGCAGCTGAGCTATGCGGAATGTGGACTCCAATGGACTGTTTTCTCCTAACTTTTTTTCCCTAGCAGGTCATTTTAGGGGAAGATAGTGCCATAGTCTAAATGCTACACCAAGCCCAAAGCTGGAGAAAGCTCTCCCCGACGCTAAACAAGGAGTAGGCGAAGAAAAAAAAAAAATTCTTTCTTATTCCCCCTACTCCTTTGCTTTTGGCCCCCCTAAGCTGGGCTGAGCTGGGCTGACAAGCGGATCGACAGGAATCTCGATCCAGGGCTGACTGCTTGAGTGAGATTTCCGTCGATGCGTTGCCAACAAAAGCTGCGACATGATGTGAGACAAGTGCGTGCATTGGCCGTGAAAATTTTTTCTCTTGTCGCTTCTTATTTCTTTCTAATTCTAGCAGTTCCGTGTTCGGTGGGGAGATGAAGAAAGAAAAAAGTAGACAAGCGAGGAAATCATATCCTGACCCATCGTGAATCCTCAATTGTTATCCATAATCCATAATCATCTTCTACTCCTTTGTTTTTTTTTCCACCCACGTGCATCGCATTGAATCTCTACGACGAAATAAAACACACCCCAAATTGTGGTGCTGCGGCTCGTTGCATCCACTTTTCGCATATTCGCCCCCTGCACCAGGTAGAAAAAAAAAAGAGGAACTTCCAATGGGCTCTCCTTTGTCGTATGATGTGGCAAATTTGTGGTTCCATGATGTGTTTCCCCCCCAATGGCCGTGACTAAGAACCGCAATTTCCCTCTTTGTCGTGCTATTCTTCAAACGTCGATGCGACTCATCGGCAGAGGGCAATCTCGGATCCGTGTTGGACACTGGACGTTGCGTTCAATTCTCCTTCTTTCCGGTGCCTTGTCTTCGGGATCAGCTAACTACAGGGACCGAAGCCATCCAAACTCAAGCCAACAGCAGTCTTCAATAACTATACACCTCTTAACCAAATTGTAATACTCCGTAAATGGGCGCTTGCAATACTCCGTCTTTGGCTGGTTATGCCTCCTTCTTGCTACCATCAACGCCATTGAGGCTGTCGCCAATTATGTTAGTCGACGCCATAAACACCCCCCTCTTGGTAGCAAATCAAGGTTGAGCGCAAAGACTTTTCGTGGCGCGGCCTCTGCCGCCCTCCGCGGTTCGGCTGTCGCTCTGCAAAGCTGTTGGGCGTGGCAAACTTCTGATTGAGCTGTGGTTACTGCAATAGACCATTGATCATCCACCGGCTGTCGTCCCGTTGCCACAGCCCTAAGCAGATCATCCCATATTACAGTCACCAGCAGATGACATGTGCATTATGTAAGATAATAGCATCAAAAGACAGTATTGGAAATTCTTCACTGCCGTGTCAATTGCCTCCCGGCTCTCCTCTCCGTCATCTCCCGTTTTCTGTAACACAGAATCAGTCGAGCATAAGGAAATCAATTACACATGCAACCCATTTCCCGTACCTGG